CAATTTATACCAATTACTGATGCATTTATGGTAAATGATTTGAGGTTAGGTTAAAATACAAGTGTGGTTACTATAAGATTGTGTAGTAATTTATATATCAAATATCGTCGCCTTGTATATCAACGTTGCTATTACTACACGTTGTATATCGACACGTTCCATTACTACACGTTGTATATCGACGCGTTCTATTGCTACACGCTGCATATCAACGCGTAGTATATTGTCACATTGGTTATCGGCGCATTCCTATTGCCACGCGTTGCATATCGACGCGTTCTATTACTGCACGTTGCATATCGGCGCGTTGTATATCGTCGAATTGGATATCGATGCATTGCTACTGTGACGCGTTGCATATCGACGCGTTCAATTGCTACACGTTGCTTATCGACGCGTTGTATGTCGTCACGCTGGTTATGGGCGCATTGCTATTGCCACGCGTTGCATATCGACGCGTTGTATATCGTCACGTTGGATATCGACGCATTGCTACTGCCACGCGTTGTATATCGACGCGTTCGATTGGTACACGCTGCATATCGACGCGCTGTATATCGTCACGCTGGTTATCGGTGCATCGCTATTGCCACGCGCTGCGTATCGACGCGTTCTATTTCTGCACGTTGCATATCGGCGCGTTGTATATCGTCGAATTGGATATCGGCGCATTCCTACTGCTACACGTTGCTTATCGACGCGTTGTATGTCGTCACGCTGGTTATGGGCGCATTGCTATTGCCACGCGTTGCATATCGACGCGTTGTATATCATCACGTTGGATATCGACGCATTGCTATTGCCACGCGTTGTATATCGACGCGTTCGATTGGTACACGCTGCATATCGACGCGCTGTATATCGTCACGCTGGTTATCGGTGCATCGCTATTGCCACGCGCTGCGTATCGACGCGTTCTATTTCTGCACGTTGCATATCGGCGCGTTGTATATCGTCGAATTGGATATCGATGCATTGCTACTGCCACGCGTTGCATATCGACGCGTTCAATTGCTACACGTTGCTTATCAGGGCGTTGTATGTCGTTACGCTGGTTATGGGCGCATTGCTATTGCCACGCGTTGCATATCGACGCGTTGTATATCATCACGTTGGATATCGACGCATTGCTATTGCCACGCGTTGTATATCGACGCGTTTGATTGGTACACGTTGCATATCGACGCACTGTATATCGTCACGCTGGTTATCGATGCATCGTTATTGCCACACGCTGCATATCGACGCGTTCTATTTCTGCACGGTGCATATCGGCGCGTTGTATATCGTCACATTGGTTATCGGCGCATTCCTATTGCTACATGTTGCATATCGGCGCGTTGTATATCGTCACGCTGGTTATCGGCGCATTCCTACTGCTACACGTTGCTTATCGACGCGTTGTATATCGTCATGCTGGTTATGGGCGCATTACTATTGCCACGCATTGCAGATCAACGCGTTTTATTGCTACACGTTGCATATCGGCGCGTTGTATATCATCCCGTTGGTTATCGGTGCGTTGCTATTGCTACACGTTGCATATTGAGGCGTTGTATACCATCCCGTTGGTTATCGATGCGTTGCTATTGCTACACGTTGCATATTGACGCGTTGTGAGTACTAGTCATTGCACTCTAGCTTCTTATATGTACACTGACACGTTGCATTTCGTCGCATATTGGAGTGCTGTATTCCAACTTGTTACTATTGCGGCGTATACCGACACATCATTGAATATCGTCACATATATCATAAAGTATTGCTCTGTATATCGTATCACACCGTCGCATCGTTAAAGCTACATGCGGTATAGCAAAGCATTGACCACTACGCGTAATATAACAATGCGTTGTACCTCTGAATAGCACATGGTTATTATATCGAGAGGCACATTATAATGGTACCATTTAGTCACCTATTATAAAGAACATTCAAACATTTATTTAAGAAAGTAAAATTAAACGAAGTCATGAAGCCTAGTCACTTTCCCGCGCAGTCCAATCGAAGAAAGCGAATATAACGCATATCAAAAGAATGTCAAGTGCAATATAAAAAGCGCCACATTTTTCGTCGAAACTCGGTGGCCCGGTTTCGCAGCGTCGCGTCGGTTTATCAATGCCACGAACGATCTTCGCTTCGTTAAAACGTAATCGCGTTCAATTATCCGTGCAAAGTGTCGGGCCGTTTGGGTCGGATAATCGAGGTCGCAGTAATTTGAATAAACCACCGCGAAAAATCCAACGATGCGTATCACGGCTAAAAACGAACCGTTCAACGAGCCCGAGCTTTCGTCGCGTACGGGGCGGAAAAATATTTTCATCGGGTGATTTTCCATGCTTCGGACTTCGGCGACAGGAAACAAGAATGTGAGAAAAAAGAGAGAAGCGAGCCGAAAGCGGGAGAAGCGTGTCGAGGATTAAGCGTAAAATCAACCGCAGTCTGGGCCCATCCTTTAATCCGACCGAATATTAACCAGATTCACGTTCGCGGTTCTCGTCCTTCCATATTTCGCCGGTGACGGCATCCTTCGGCCCACGGTGAACGGCTATCGCGATGAAAAGAAAAGGAGCGGATGAAAAAAGGAAATGAAATGGAGGGACACGTATTGAACGGGACATTGTAATTATCTGGAGGATGAAGGATCTCTTTGCGATTGAAATATTTTTATTTTACTCCAGAATTTAGTGCTCAAATTCAATTCCAGTTGTGGTCGTGTATGACTATTATTTTAATGTTAGAGCTGGTTTTATGTTCTATTTAAATTTTATCTTACACATTGCAATTTATATTTAATTGAAAGGAAGATACATAGGAAGATATAATACAACTGTTGTATTTCATCGACGGTAAAGTGTGAACATCTTAACTGATTGTATCTATATACCCGTATTGGATCAATGAGACTATGAGCAAATTACTACATCAAGTGCAATGTACATAATTTTTTAAATATCACACTAAATATTACTTGATGTTTGTTACAACGTATTATTACAGCGCCCTCAACATTTTACAAGGAGGGTACAATAAAAAATAAGCATGGAGGCTTATTAGCCAATATAACAATTAGAATAGATCTTAACTCGTTGTCAGAAACGTCTCAGGTCCCACCATTCGAGCGCACGTCGAATGGCGAGATTATGCGAATTCGAAGGGACGCGTACACGCGCCACAGTGGCAACGCGAGGAGGGTTGGCGAGTTTCGGAGGCGGGGGTGGAAACGCGGAGCGGGATGAGAGAGAGTCATAAAATCGAGCGAAGTGAACGCCACGAGGGAGACACTGAGTGATGTCGGTGACAGCCGCCTCCCTGCCCTCCTCCGCCCTCCTCCGCCTCCTCCTGTCGCTATTACTCACCCAACGCCGAATACCATTCAAAGTTCGAAACCGCACGTTCGCGACCCAATTCCTGCCCGGAGTCAGCTGTTCGTTCGGTTCATTCAAAGTTCGATCGACCGACGCCGGCTGGCCGTTCTGTGGCCATACACGAATTAATAACGATGCGATAAAAAAAGAATCCTCGAAATATTCAGAAACGTCTTTCACTGACTTTACATCGTTCAGAGCAATGCACTTAGGATACGCTCTGGATTTTCCTGCTGGACCTCTGATTATCACAAGCGTGTTTTCCAGAAGAAGAAATGTATGAATTAATAGGAAAATAGTTCGCATCAGTACTGTTCCTCGAAGAGCCCCCGGCGCAGGCAGATATCGAGACTCCCCCACGTACTATCTAACGAACTACACATTGGGAGGTCGTACTATCGTGTTATTATGTATGTACGATTCTAGGATTAATATGTGGTCAGCGCAAGAAGGGTTGCAGTCCGTTTAATAATACTACTGTACTTTTCTCGAAGCCGTCAACGCTTGGAACGCGAGCGGACCGCCCGACGGCCGGCGTTGGCCTCCGCTTGTCATTTGTCAGGATCATCGTCTTCGTTATTTAAGACATCGAGCAATCGCAACGAATTCCTTGCCAAGAACCGTGTCACGTTACCCAGGTTACCTCGTGCCCCGAGATTCTACTATTTTTGACGCGATCCTACTCCTTGCCAGAGTGGCCAGAGAAATTTCAACAGTTTCAGGTACTCGAGAATCTGTAGGTGGCATTGACGTAGACCTTTGCCGTCACTATTTCATGATCGATGCAATTCTATAGCGGTGATCAAATTAGAGCTAGATAAAATTCACAGAAATGACCTTTCTATACTTATACGTTCTTCATCATGTTTTGTAATTTAAAGGAAGTTCACATATGCTCATAAATTGTTTACAACATAAATTGTTTACGTTTGTAGTGCCAGTAGGTCAAGAGCAGTAAGAAATGGCAAATTAATATAATTTTCATGGTACACACTTTGCAGCCATTTTCGCATGTCACCATGACAGACATACGAATTTGAGCGGTAAGATTGTACGAGGCTACACTCGCGACAATGTTCACTCTCGAAATAGGCAACCCTTGAGTCACTCGAATCGGTTGTTATAGTTAGAAGCATAACATCGAAATCATAGACAAATGCATAATCGTAGCCACGTTTCGGCAAGGGTGTCGAGGGTGTGAAAAGATATCGGAGCACTGTTCGAAGCGGGACATCACGTTCGCACCTCGCGCAAGAGAGCCGGTCATCGTTATCACTTGTATCACGATCGCGCGAGACGAAAGTGGTCAAAGAGGCGCAACGCTTCTGAAACACGAATCGGACATGTTGGTAGCGGATAAACGGAGAAACGTATAATTCCCTGGCTGGTCGTGGTCTCGTCGGTCGGCGTCGTCGTCATGATCGTCCGTCGGCGGTCTCGTTGGTAGTGGTGTAGCGATGGCGGAGAATCCCGTGGTTCGTGATTCCGCCGTGACGGCGCTGTAGTCCGGTGTGGCGGTGGTGGGGATGTGGGCGGTACCAGGGGGCGCATTGGCCGCGCTCGGTAGGCGTGGCTGCGCGCCTCCCACTCCTTGGTGTAGCGCGGCGCTGATTGACAGTTGGCGAACGACTGCGGACGGCGCAGGATCTAAAACCGCGCTAGGCGCTGCTCTCCACGCTCGCTCGGTCCGCTCTTCTCTTACCCGTGGATATACTACCGGTGCTTTTTCGTGGGGGAAGAACTCGAAACACGCATATTCCCGTGGCTGGTGCCTTTGCCCGGCGGCCCGCGCGCAACATATACCTACACCAACCAACAACCTTCCACCTTCTGTCCGCCGGAGTTACGACGAGTGGCACACGCAGCAGTAGTTACGATTTAGGGAGGAGGGTCGCCCGCCGTCTCGCGGACAGTTCTCTCTCTGGCGCGTCTCCTCTTCTCTCTCCTCTCTGCGTGACCGGTGTCGGTTCGTTCGTTCGTTCAGTAATCGCCGCGAGGAGGAACGCGCTTCTTCTTCCGCGACTCCGGTACGATCGCGCGCCCTTTCGCATCCCGAGATATCAGTTTTCGACGCGGACGCCCGGTGTGTGCCCCCTGTTATCCGTGGCCACGGTGAGATCTATCGGCGCGGGACCAATCCCCGAGGAATCGGTCGCGGCAACGTCGCCTCGCCGTCGCTCGACTTTACGCTCGTGTTCGGCGCGCTGTCGCGACGATCAACGCGCTACTTTTTTCGGCCCAGCGAAAAGCTGCTCGTCCACCCCGGTACTCTGATCGGTTTTGCGCGCGTCAACGGTGTTTCGCGCGTCGTCCGTCCAGGTGCTCCGTTTCGTTCCACTTAAAACTCGAAGGATGCAAGCGTGTCTCGGTTTCGTCAGTGACATACGTTCAGGTGTTTGTTATCTGTGAAACAACAGTGCGAGTCAGCCGCGTTCACCGACGGCGAAACAGGAAGTCGAGTGGACACGGAGCCAACAATCGTGTAACGTGGTGATTTTTTTTCTCCGCGACGGTGGAGATTCCGGTTTTCGGTGCAAGTTCTCGCGTATCCGCGTTCGCGCGCTCCACCAAGAGGGTAGTTTTCGTCGGTTCGCGAGGGAAGAGACCACGCGCTGGACGAGAAGAGGTCAAGGAATCGCGAGCAGGATAATGTCGCGTTACTGACGAGCCACAGGGACCTAGCCAACCTCTTTGGCCGTTTGGTCGGAACTTCCGGCGGTGTGACCGCGACGATGAGGAAGCACGTGTGTCCGGCCGTAGCCGTGGTCCTGTTGCAACGTTCGAGCACGCGTGCCGAGCACTGCTGACGCTCGGTCGCTTCGATTTCACGCCGTCACAGAGTCTCGTCACCGGTCGACTCGGATCCGGGGATCGTCGGGAAGCATCCATCCGACTCGAGCCACGTTTTCCCGGTCCTGTTACAACTTTAAACTCACACCGTCGGCTGCGACCGCCTGCAACCGCGAACCTTTACAAACTCGACCACCCCGAACTTTCGATCGTCCGACGGCTCGGTACTTCGATCGGTCTGTGTAACCTCCCGCTATTCTACGAGTCTATAGTGCGACGAACCGGGATATACGGGCTAAACCGATCGCCGCGATAAGGCGAATCGACAAGTGAGGAAACCACTGTGAAAGCGGTGTGTGTGAAGTGTTCGAGGTTACTTGCTTATACTGTGGGAAAATACAGCCGCTACGGTGGCTCAGCACGCAGAGTTCCCCGGCGCGGCCAGGGCGTTCATGGCACAGCCAAGGGTACGTCGATACACTTATGATTTTTACGTATTTTTATCAACGTTAGAATAGAGTGTTTACGTGCCGGCAACGTGCTTGTTCTTGAGAATTATGCGGTTACAGTGTTACATTGTGAAGCTCGTATAAGAGTGTCGGCTGTGAATAGCATTCACTTGCTCCGAAATTTGCTCCGAAATTGTTAGATTCGAGTGATGGGTTTCTGTGGATCGCGTGCGTTAGGAATTTTTAGTGCAAACCTGGTTCAAAACCTTGTCGAATATTATTAATATAAACGAATCGTTAACATCCCTATTCGAATCTACATCGATACAAAATTTTTGTACCAATGTTTCGAATGATGTTGTCAGATTTTTCTGTACATTATTAAAAGCTATGAACACTTGAATCTTACTATAGTGGAATATTTTGTGGATAGCGTGATCGTTAAAAATATTTTTGTATTAGTGTTGGAAATTCTGTGATCTGTCACAAAGTTCCTCCTCTCGAGTATTACTGTCAACACTAACATTATCATTCATATGAAACACTAATATTATCATTGATATTTTTCTATTGAATGTTCATTATAGTTGCAATTATAAAAAATTTGTTCGAAACTCATCAGTGAACGTGTTAAAAATTTCTTTAGCAGTGTTTAAAATGATTCAAGGAATATCACTGTTGAAATTTCTCTGTCAGTTTCACATGTTAATTTTGTAAGGAACACAGTCGAGTTTGATACAAAATTTCTTTATTCAAAATTAGTGCCAACTGTGTATCAATTTTATTAGTGCTCGAAACTAATTTTAATGTTTCGAATAGCATTGTGAGTTAATAAAATTCGTCAGACGTGGAAGTGATACGAAACTTAATTCTGTGAGAGACTCGTAAAAAATTTACCTCGATGCACAAAATTTCCGCGTTTCGATTATTCCCACAAAATCAACATTACACAAAAATTCATAGTCTAAAAAAAAGCAGTGCAAAGTTGACACAGTGACCACCTAAAAACTCTACCGAAAAAAAACCTTGAAATTCCAAAAAATAAACCACCGCTAAAATTTGAAAATAATCGGCGAACAAAATTGAAAAGTGCTCATGTGCGTACAATGTGTCTGACCGCGTATGTCACTAGCCACTGCGGCAATCAACGTATTAAGTGGCCGTAACGCTTGAAGGGTTAATTTTGCGTCCAATGATAGTGAAATCTATGAATAATTTCATAACAGTGAGCTAATAGTCCCGGTGCACTTGACAGTTCGTGTCCGTCGCATGGGTCGAAACACTTCGGTCGTTTGATAAAAAGCTATCAAATTTTTCTATCGATCAGATAGGTGTTCTCGGTGGTTCTTGGTAGCGAAGGTGCGAGAGTGTAACGGGATCCGAACCGGTAGCTCGAGTTAAATCGAGTTCGAAACCGTCGACAAGGAGCCCTCGAGTGTTTCGAGGTGTCGCACGAGTCTTTCGGTTCGCTAGATTCGTACCCTCGAACTTTGTTTGTTGGTTTTCTTACGATTCGATAGCTTCATTGTAAGACACAGCTTTATAGCTTGATTCATCTGTAAAAATTTGTGCTGAAAGGAATTCGCAAGAATTGTCTTCAAGACAAGAAATCTCAAGTGTTCGAAGTCTCATATTCGCTCTTTCACTTTGAAGAGGGTTGCAGAGTTTCCCTCATCCTTTGCCTTTGTCAGAGTTGCCTTTCGGTTTAGAGTTAGTTACAAGTTTAGACTTAGTTTTAGTACAAATTTTTTGTCTTCCAAAATTTTCTCTTCTAAACGAAATTTTAGGAACCTCTGAATTTTCATCTCTATGAAATTTTGCACTCTAAGGGATTGATTCGATCGAAAATTGTTTGAACGGCTCTACTACTCTTTCGAGAAGTTTAACTGATTAATAGAGAACGATGGAGTCTTACAACGCGTAAATTTGCTCGAGTCGCTTAAAATTATAATGCGAAGTAATAATTTGAAAATTCACGCGTTTGTACGCAGTAATAGGGTTGTCCGCGCTCTGTCTTGGACAAGATACAAAATGCAAGGTGTTAATGTGTCAAAATTTATCTTGCAAAATAGTCACAGACCTGTTTTATACGTTCATCTTTCGAGATACTAGTTTGTATGAATAATTAAAACTTTCTTTCTTTCTTTTCGAGTGAATTTATTTGCAACCCTGACGTATCACAAAACTACTGTTCTTCATCTTTTAATTAAAAATGAAAAATATAAGAAGACGTGGTTTTAAAATATGATAAAAATTAGTGTGGTTAAAATTCATTGTATAAACTTCTGTGATATGTGAAAAAATCATATATGAGTAAATCAAAATGAAATTTTTAAATGTTTGAAACGTTCAGAATTTTTATTTTCAAATGTAGTGTGAATTCAAACATTTCGCTCCAAAATTGAACATTTTTAAAAGAGAAATGAACTCAAAAAAAAATTGAATTAAAAATAAATATGAACAGTCTATTGAACATTTTAATTTAGAATTAAAGACTTCAGAACCGATTTTTAAGTAGAAACATAGTATCGTTTAATGTTGCAATATTAATGAACGTTTTACGTGACGTAAAAAATGTTTGCCATAATGTCGAAACAGCAAAAAAGAGACAGAGTGCAAAGTTTCCTTTTCATTAGATAAAAAGGCAATAAAAATAAAAATGCTGGAAAGGCGCCGAAGAAAATGTCGAAAAAAATGAGCGATTTTCGTTGAAACAGAGTATATTTTCGCGCGAGGGAATGGATCCATTTGAAACTCGGAGAAACTTTCCTGCAACTGGACAACCCGAAATTATCATTTTACGTGAATATCGTGTTCGGCCCGATTGGCGTGCCATCGAGATGCACGAATCGAATCGATACTCGAGAGTGCAGCTCGCAGATACTGAGCGTTCGAGGAATTGATTACGATTCTTGTCGTCGACGGGGCGATTTTGTTCACGCAACGATCGCCACGATTCCAGGCCACCGGTTAGTCGAACGCAATTTCGATTTCCACTTGTGTGCGTTCGCCGTCTCGTAGGTAAATCGAGAATCGTACGGGAAAGCATTTTGACCCGTCGGACGTAAGACACGCTCGATCGAACAATTTTGGTTACTTTATTTCCTTCTCCATTTTCGTTACTTTAGTTCGTTCTCGATTTTATGTTGCTTTATTTCATTGGGTGTTTTATGATTCGGTCGCGAGTTTGTAACAGTTTTTGGTGGAAATACTTCAACACTTTCTATTGGAGTATATTTTGTAATCAACTGTGGATTTAGGGTAGATTTTGATTTAGGTGATTCATAAATGCATCCTTTTTTCTGTGAAACGAAAATGGAATTTTTTTAGTGAAAATTGGTAGCAGACTTTACGGAAATGATGATTTATTTATTAATAATAGATGTGACAATTTAAAAATTTATTTATAATAGTAATTTGATAAATTTGTTAATTTATAGTAGATGTGGTTTAATAAATTCGTCAGACGCAATTTAAAAATTGTATTAATTTATAATATATAATAGACATAATTTAATAGCGTGATAAATTTACAATAAACACAGTTTAAAATTTTATCAATTAATAATAGAAATAATTTAGTAACTTGATAAATTCATAATGAACACAATTAAAAATTTTATCAATTAATAATATACATAATTTAATAAATTGATAAATTCACAATGAACACAATTTACAACTTCATCAATTAATAATAGAAATAATTTAATAACTTGATAAATTCACAATGAACACAATTAAAAAATTCATCAATTAACAATATACATAATTTAATAAACTGCTAAATTCACAATGAACACAATCAAAAAATTAATAAATAGAATTTATAATATACCCAATTTAAAAATGTATCAATAGAAATACCTGAATAAATCGATCAATTTCATATAATTTGATTAAACGCGATATACTTAAAGCATGAAGTAATCGTAGATATTTTCGTAACACGAAAAGTGGAATTAAGTAAAAGTTTCAACATCTGCACTCGATAATCAAGTAAATTCGATCGCGAAAACTAAAAATCTCGAACGTGACACTCGACAGTAAAAATAAATCGTAGATTACTTACGAGTAGATAGAAGATCGTTTATGATCGAATTAATCAATCGAGCACTCGAGTCGTTGTCAAACCCTTGTATTTTACGTTTAATTGAACACGTACGAAAATAAACATGATATCGTTTACAAAACAGAGTTTTTACACGCGAGAGCTCGTGTTATCGTCCTTAACGAATATGAATGATGGAGTCTTCCGTTTACGACCATAATCGATCGACTACACAAACATTTATATCGACGAGAAAATTTTCGACGTACAAAAACAATGTTATTTTAAATTGCGAAGGAGTGACAGAAAAACCGTGTAAGAACGTCGTTTTTTCGATCGAGGAATCATGCAAATGGAGAATGCCATTGTAAAAGGGTTCGATCGGGTTTTTCTCGGATTCCAGGGACGTTCACGTTTTTATCGAACTCGACCAAGTGAAAACGGTATCGGTGTCGATAAAGAGCTTTACGAGATCGCCGATAAGCGTCGATCGCTCGCGTGCCGGCCGATTTTCAAGTGACGGAACGCACCTCTTGTTCCGGAGCGATCTACCGACGGCATTCTGTCGATCTTTCGATCCAACTTTCTTCATCTGTCATGTGTTGTCAAGTTTTTCCACAATAATTAGTGACATTTACTCGAGGCAATTTTTATCTTCCATCTTTACTCTTGGCACGATTTTTATTGCAGTCATTTTCGAATCGATTGTAACCTTTTTTCATAGACGCTATTTTTGGTCGAGATTTTGGGGCAATTGGTTTTTAATCGATGTGATTTTTGTGTCAACAATTTTTGGATTTAGTGCGATTGTTTTTAGAACGCAATATTTTTGAACCAATGCTCTTTTTATTGCAATATTTGAAACGATACTATTTTTATTGCAATATTTGATCTGAGGCAAAGTTTGTTGCGAGCGGTTTTAAATCGATGCAATTTTTATTGCAATTATATTCGACCTGATGCAAGT